ATTTACTAAATGATTAAATTTTGGCATGTGTTATGTGTAAAACACAATGGATTAATAATAATGTTCAAAAGATAGAATGGATGAAGAAAAACACAACTCCAAGAGCTCTTTATTCTTCCCAACTAAGAATAGTGTAGTGTAATACATTTCCTTAAAATAGAACAAAATGCTCTTCAGTAACCAACAACAAAAACAAAACACTGCCTGTGAGACTATGAATCACACCAAAGGCAGCTAAATAGACATGCCTGTTTGTGTCTATATTTGGTGCCTCTGCCTGTTCCACATCTACCAAAACTGAATTACGAATTTCTCTCTCATTTAGAGCCTTGAAGCTCTCATGATCTTACATATTATGCCGCTCGGGTTAATTTAAGAGCAGAGATCTCAAGAAGATGGGTTGCTTTTTGAGCTAAAACATCTTCTTCGGCTCGTATTCCCCCACAAAGAAGTGGTGCTAACACAGTGTGTACTCACAATCGAGCAAGCCTCTAAGTATCTCTTCACAATTTGGGCGTTCTTGAGGCTCTGCCCAACAATCTGCAGAGAAAACATGGTAAAATTTTACTCAGATTGAAGCAGTTGATTGATATGAGAATAAAAATAAAACATCGATTAAAGTTCATGAAACTATGGTGTTTAACAGCATCAAACCTGCAATTAGTTTGCTGAGTGGACCATCCGGAATCTCTAAACGTGACCCTTCATGCGCAACAGCAAAGATAACCTAAGAAGCAGAATCCATTGATCAATCTAAAATTATTTAACCATGATTGAAGTAGTGAATGTGAGAGAATGAACATCACTAGAAGCATATGGTACCTTCTCAGGTGGAACTCCTTCCCATGGTTTACGTAAAGTAGAAAGCTCCCACATTATGACCCCAAGACTAAAGATATCACATTTCTCTGTAAAAGGTTCGTTACGAATGAGTTCTGGAGCCATCCACTCTGGGGTACCAGCAGATGAAGTGTCCTTCATGTTATCAACAGTCATTATTCTCGAGAGCCCAAAATCGCAGATTTTCACCGTCCAATGTTTGTCCACGAGACAGTTGGCACTTTTTAGGTCACGGTGAACTATCTTCATCCGGTGTATGCACATCAAACCCCTTAAGCATCCCATAAAAAGATACGAAACAGCATGAAATACGCATATGTAGCTTGAAACAAATAATCTAGAGAAAGATGTAAGAAATGCTTAGAGAAAATAACAAATTTTGTGACTTGATCCTTGTTTCTTATGTAGAAGAGTGTACTGAACCTATCTTAAGTTAAAATTTGCTCAATCCACTGAGATATGATACTCACCAAGGAACTGATAGTTTAAAATAAACTGACATAATAAGCCACAAGTATTCAATGGTGCACCCTAATGTATATCAGTCTTTCAAGCCAATCTTGCTAATCCTCAGAGACTCACTAACCATGATCCACAGTTTGAGCATCAAGGGAAGAAAAGGAACCAAATAAATTGGTARCAGTAGAAGCAAGCTCTGTACCTGCAGATGTCTCTAAGCATCCTGAGCCTTCTGTGCCAGCTAAGTTTCTTCTTCTGACCACTCATGTGGATCAAATAATACAAAGATCCCAGCTCCATGTATTCGGTGATCATAGATAAGCGTGGAGGTTTTGTGCATGCACCCAGAAACAGTACAACTGCAAAAACATAGATTGCGACTTGTCTGATAAAGGTAACTGAAGGAATAATCTGAGACATGTCTCCACAAATTACTTGATAAACATGACAAGAGAAAAAGCGAGAGGACGTGAGAAAAATAATCACCATTTGGGTGGCGAACACGGCTGAAGAGAGAACCAAACATGCCGGACCAAACATGCAAAAACATTAGTAGATGTACACAGGGATTGATCAAAGAATGACCAAGACATTGGTAACAGATACCTGAGAATTGATATCTCATTGCAGAAATCTTCCATGTTTTCGGCAGTAAGATCTTGCTCTAGAAACAATTTGATTGCAACATCTGTCCCATTCCATACTCCACGAAAAACTTCACCAAAAAAACCTAGACACATAATAGAAGACACCTTTACATACAAAAATTTGGGATTTGGTTAACATGGACACTACAATGCTTAATGAATTGAAAATGAATTCAAACTTGCATTGTCTATATTAAAGGTAGTTAAAAATTTAGAGCAGCTTACCGATCCCCACCCGAGTTCCAACAGTCAGCTCTGAGAAGTCAATGTCCCATTCTTGAAAGGGTAATAAAGGCTGATTCTGCAAAGTGGAAGACTCCACCACTTTATTCCATGTATCCTTCACGGCAAAGTCTGAAGGCCCTCTTCGTCCAAACCCTTGACTCCTGTAAGCATGAGGAGATGATGGCAATGACATTGTCTTCTTAGACTTTATCTCATCATCAAGATGGAGACCAGACACCTGGAAAATCAGAACCAAAAGCACAAGAAAATTAGAGGTACATGGATACCACGTCTTAGTGCAGTGACCTTCCCAAGCAACTCAGAACTTTTCGACTAATTAAACACTGTGAAGAGGACTAATGCAACACAACAGCCACTCTTACTAACAGAGAGCTCCAACTTACATTGTTATCGATACCTGAGCTGTTTTCATCCTCTCGGCCTTGCAAGAGTCGGTGTTGCTTTGCTTTCTCATTCATTTCTCGTACAGCCCTTCAATAGTTTGTAACACCGGAGTCAGTACACAAGCAAATCATTAATCACAGCTAACTCTTGATGAGTTCTTTCTCACAATTCTCAGTACCATGATCACTAAGTTAGGAGTGCCATTAAATGGCTCAAAAGAATTTATGACTTTGAGTGACAATGTAGTTCCATGTTAATCATGTTATCATCTTAAAGTTTGGAGAGAGCAATTTTGCATTCTAGATGACTCATATAATGTCATGTGATATGTCAACTGCTATCATGATAGTACATTTTTTAATTACCTTAGCAATTTATATTAACAGTATAAAGTATAAACTCGAATATAGAGCCTTCAATATGCAAGCTGAAAAAGACGCAAAAGCTGCTAAACGATGAAAGAAGTAATAAGGCACACAGATGAGAATACCGACCTTGCAATGTCATCCCCAATCTCTGGTGTGATCCTAAAACTTCGCCTTCTACTTTTACGAATGTCTGATGAACTGTTTGAAAGCTAGATATTATTAAAAATCGCTTGCACAGCCAATCACAAATCCATATTTTTCTAGGCATCTAGTAATAAATCAGAATTCTGACAAACAATGCAAGATTAGTAACGTAGATATTACTGCACTGAAGTGAAATAAGAAAGACAATTCTGGAATGTCCATACAAACATACTGACCAAATGAAATAGGAAAGTAATGCCACACTGAAGGTTTTGGCACGTATTAATGCAGAAATGTTATACCTAGAAGGAGATGCGTCACCAGTGTAATCCCTACTTGAATTCCTGCCAGTACTCAACATTGATCGTCCACGTGATCGGA